ATGTCTCCTCCTGTCCCCAAACACAAATTCACCCAATCTCTTTACGGAATCTGCTTCAGTGTAGAAAGGTGGTTGCAGCGAATAGTAGGGTAAAGGAGCGTGTCCTCTAGCACTGGTCCCAGTGGGTTGATAGGAGTTGAGGTTCAGTTTCTTATTGATCAGCTCTGAAACTCGGAATCAAGGTGTCAGAGGTGAGAATAATGTAACGCATCTCCCTTCCACTGCCCCACCAATGGCACAGTTTCCCCTTATCTGCAGAGCATACAGTCTAAAACCTGCAGTGGTTATCTGATACCACAGACAGCACCAAGCCCTAGGTATACTGTTTTGTCTTATACACATATACCAAAGGGAAGCACTTACGACTGCTCTTTGACACACTGGAATTGCTAGAGAACTCACTCTTGTGCTTTGGGGCCATTATTAACTAAAGGTTGCTTGAACACAGCACTGTGATACTATGCCAGTTGATCTGATAACCAAGAAGATATGCTGGACAAAGGGATGAGTCACGTCCTGGGTAGGATGACGCAGGGCAACAGAAGATTTCATCACGCTACTTAGAAAGGCATGCAGTTCAAAATGTATGAATTGTTTATTCCTGGAATTTTCTAGTTGATAATTTTGGCCCATGGTTGACTGTGGGTGACTGATACTGTAAAGAGCGAAACCACAGATATGGGGGGACTACTGTATGCATTATTTTTCCCCCACAGGACTCTTATTTACATGGGATAAAGCCATGTTGTCACTTTAGTACCTTTAGGGTGCCTCTTCCACCTGAGATTTGGTGTGGTGAAAGTTTGTCACTTTCTGGGTCTGTTACTCACTGTGGTGTACGCCAGGGTTTTTGAACCTCAGCACTGTTGACATGTTGGGCTGGATGATTCTTTGTCATGGGGGCTGTCCAGTACATTGCAGGATGTTCATTGCATTTCTGGCCTCTGTGTTCATTGCACATGCCAGTGGCACCTTACGCCCACAAATGTCTCCCAACATGGCACAATACTGTTGGTGTGTGTGTGCACGTACAAAATCCCCCTCTGTTGAGAACCAGTGCTTTCCCCTAGAGAATATAATAGACTGGAGAACGCTGGGGAGTGGTGTTGAGACCGGAGCAGCAGGCTTCAGACCATGCAGGCAAGACTTTCCTCTGTCCTCCCTCTCTTACCAGAAGACAGCTAACATAGACCTCATTGCTCAGCCCCCTGGAAGTGCACGATGCCAATTATATTGACCTCATGCTCTACCGGGGGTGCCCAACCTGCAGCCACTCCTGGTGGATGCAGCCCAGAATGGTTGTGGACGTGGCCCAACACAAAATCGTCAATTTACTTAAAACTTTACAAGATGTTTTTGTGTGATTACATGTTGGAATGTATTTAATGTGTGGCCCAAGACAACTCCTCTTCTTCCAGGGTGGCCCAGAGAGGCCAAAAGGTTGGACGCTCTCTACAGATATTTCAGAATTATCTAGGAAGCTTCAAATGCACCAAAATCCATGGCAGATATCTCAAAATATTGTTACTTTCATCACTATATTAAAAATAAGGCATTTACTAAACAATTGATAAATGATGTTATGTACTATGATCATGAAGAAGTATATGTATTACTACATGACAAACTTGGTTTTAAAAATATTTTGATAACTGTATTTTAATATAATTGGGTGTTTCTGTGCCAGGAAAGACAAAAAGTCCAGAAGGGCTCTAATGAAAAATGAAGAAAAGATTAATTTAATCTAATCTCCACAGGGGCTCAATTACAAACACTCGCTGAAATCAGGCACTATAATTCACCATGGTTATTATAAATAGAACATGGTTAATAGTAAATATAAATGTACTGTCTTAAACTAAAGACCAGAAAGTCCTTGTAGAAACTGATTTATAGAGTATGAGAATCTCCTAAATTTTAGGGCAGACAGTTTCCCAAGGTTTTGTCTCCACTTTGCTTTTTGAACTCAACTCTCTTCCCATTGTCATGTGACTCAATATGCTAATTATTTGTGTCATTTACCAGATATGTCTAGATTTTTGCCTTCTGGGAATATGGTAGGATTATACTTCACTACTTCCTTTGGAGTTAGACATGGCTATGCAACTTTTTTCTGGCCAATGAAATGGAGCATACATGACCTATGTCACCTTTAGGGACAACTTCAGGAGGCAGTGAGCAATTCCCTATGTCCTTTTTTCTCTGCCACAGTGTCATGAAAGCCTAGATTGAGAGGATAGCCTCCATAGCTGCAGGTGTGGGTTTATTAACCAGAATCAAGTTCAACTACATGCAACAGAAAAACTCAGTATTAAAGGGGTTAATGGACAATATGAGATGAGTATAGTGGTTCTTCTCTCAGGAATCAGGCTCTTTCCAGCTTATGATTTACCTGTCCCTAAAATGGGACCTTCATTCCCATGGTAGCTAGAGTTCTGCCACCACATTCCCATTCCAGACAGAAAGACAGATGAAGGGATAAAAGGAATACTAGACAACACAGAAGAGATAGAAACTGTCTTAAAAGAGGTTTTCTGGAAGTGGCCACATAAAACCAGCACTTACACATCATTGCTCAGAACCTAGCTCCGTGGCCGCATCCATCTGCAAGGGGGGCTGACGTGTAGTCTTCGTTTCAGGCACCTTGGTGCCCAGCTAAGACTCAGAAGCTCTGTTGCTGTTTACAAGGGAGAGACCAGATATGATGGGTGGGTGACTAGGTGTCTCTGGCACAGTGAGCATGTGACCTAAGCTAGTAACGCCCCATCCTCTCAACCACAGTCTGGGTTCAGGAATAGGCGTATAACCCCTGCCCACCCTAGTGGAGTTCTGTAAGGTGTTGGTTTTTGTTCATTGTTTTTTAAACCTGAGCTTGTGAGAAAGAGTCTCTTCTTCTCAGATCATAAATCTGGAGACAGAGCCTAAATCTAACATGAAAAGAAAAGCAGGACAAGAGAAAAAGAGAAGCCCTAAGAAGTTCTTGATTTCCCTGTCCAAGCCTTTCCGAGACCAGTCCTCCCCTGCCCTTTATTCAGTTTAGTTATGTGAGCCAAGAAATCCCTTGTTTACATGAGGAGAAGTTGGGTGCCTATTTCTTGCAACCCAAGAGTCCTAAGGCAACCGTCTACCTCCCCGGGTTTTTGTGGGGAACATACGAGCTAGCACACTTCATAGTTGCCATGGTTCCTGGCACATAAAGGTCCTGAAACACTGGCACTTGATGATGTGTTTGAAATAACACAGTCGATGAAATTTGGACAAACTTTTTCTTTTTAAAAAGTTTCTTTAAAAAGATTTAGACCTTACTTCCCTTTCTCCCTTTTTGCGGCCACCCTATTGCTCTGTGATTGCTGGGAAATTCTGTTCTCTTCTGATTCCCCTTGAACTTCCGGAGGACTGGAGCTGGATCTAATTCTCCTTAAATCATTAGTATCTAACACCCTGGCCCAGTAGATAGTCTATAACTATTGTTAGAAAAATAAGGATTTGAAGAGTTTTTGTAGTTAAAGCTGGCAACATAGCAACAAGCATTTATGAAGTACATGCTCTATTCTAAGCAGTGTCCCAAGAACTTTATGTTTTTATATTAAATCCTCACAATAACCCTTCATAGGCTGTTACTATTACTCCATTTTATAGATGAGCAAACTGATGTCAAGATCACACAACTAGTGAACGGCAGAGACAAGATCTCATCTCAGGCAAACTGATTCCAGAGCCCTATCATTTCAACCGGATACCCTGTGCTATTTCTCACTGAAGGTATTTCATTAAATGCAAATGGGATTCAATCCTTTTATGTTAAAGACAAGAAATGAAGATCATGGAATTCCATCATGAAATAGATGCCAAACTGAAGCCAAGGACTGGACGTGATTTAGTTCGGGCGGTTTACGTAACTGCAGAGGCGTACCTGCACAGGACTCTCGACTGCTACCTGGAACTGTCTGAGCAAGGACTCCAGTTCCTATGCAAGGTATGCTCCTCCTTTGTGCTTGCACCAACCCCTTCAGGGTCTTGTTCTGGGGAAAACCACTCCCAGGTGCAACTTGTCATTCAAAGTAGCTACGTGCCAGATACCACTCAAAGCCCGGGAAAGAGACCTGTTTCCACAGGTTTCACCTGCTGAAACAGACCATCAGCACACGAAAGTGGGCTGGGAAAGAAACCCCAATTCACTCTTCAGGTTTTAACACAAATTTCATGTCCTCGGAGAAGGCTTCCCTGGCCTCTCTCCAAGGTCAAATGTGTCTACCTAAGATCTTCATAGCACTTAGCAGTCAGCTGTAAATAAATATAATATAATATATGATATAATATGACATGAGATGATATATATAAACTTGTGGAATATTTGGCTAACGGCCACCTCATTCATTATAAGTTCTATGGGGACAAGATCCATGTCAACTTTTGTTTGTCCTTTTATTCCCAGTGTCCTGGCACGTTACAGGCACTCAAAAATATTTGTTGACTTTGGGTGGTGGGCACACAATGCAATATGCAGGTTATGTATCAGAGAAACGTACACTTGAATCCTATATGGGTCTTCCAACCAAGGTCACCTGAAAACGTTTAAAAGTTTTATTTGTTGAATGAAAAACGGATGAATAAGTAAATGCATGACTGAAGCGCCACGCCACATCATCCTTATGGGGCAGATACACCCCATATATGGTGTGATCCGAGGGCGCCCTCCAGAGTCTACACACTCACACACACCACGCGTGGGCTCGAAATCCCCACCAGGAAAGTCAAATAATAATCATCTATTTGGTGAAGGTTTTGGGGCCCCAAACGGGGAAAATGAGAAGCAAAAGGTGAGCAAGCATTTTTCAAAGGATGCTTTCAATTCCCTGGCCAGTCTGTGTGTGTGTGTGTTTTCCTTTACAAAGTGTTTCCAATTACTGTGGCACTCTCGGTATCTGGATCCATCTCCAGTGAATTCCTCCGCCGCTCCCGCCAGACATATGGGATCAATCAGGGCTCGGGCGCTGGTGCGCTTGCTGCGGGAATGTTGACAGCCTGACAGACGCGGGGTTCTGGTGTCGTGGAATCTCCGAGTCTTTGGCTGGATCCCGGGAGAAGAACAAGAGGGGGAGGAGAGATATAGGCAGGAGAGAGCAAAAGGAGCGGGAGAGACAGAGCGAGGGGGGAGAGGAGGGAAGCAGGAGATTTTCTTGACTGCCCCCTTTCCTTCAAAGATTTTATAGTCTTCAGGGAGAGAGAGGAGGTGGAGAGAGGGAAGAAAACAGACAAGAGAGAAACGGGGGCAGAGAGCGCGCGCCAGTCCCTCCCGAGTCCCCGGCTGCCGGAGGAGTCTGGATCGTGTCCCCAGTGTCAGATAAAAGGGCGCTGAGGCTCAACGCCGCCGACTCGCGCCGCGCGCGGCGCACGCCCCTCCACGAGCCCCGCCGCCTCCTGCGCCCCGGGGCGGCCGCTCCGTCTCCAGCGCAATGTGGTCGCGCCTGGCCTTTTGTTGCTGGGGTCTGGCGCTTGTTTCGGGGTGGGCGACCTTTCCGCAGATGTCCCCGTCGCGCAATTTCAGCTTCCGTCTCTTCCCCGAGGCCGCACCGGGGGCGCCGCGGAGGCTGCCCACGCCGCCTGCGCCTAGCGAGGAGGCGCCGGAGAGCAAAGTAGAGCGGCTGGGCCAGGCGTTCCGGCGGCGCGTGCGGCGGCTGCGAGAGCTCAGCGAGCGCCTGGAGCTCGTCTTCCTGGTGGACGAGTCATCCAGCGTGGGCCAAGCCAACTTCCTCAGCGAGCTCAAGTTCGTTCGCAAGCTGCTGTCTGACTTCCCCGTCGTGCCCACGGCCACACGCGTGGCCATCGTGACCTTCTCGTCCAAAAACAACGTGGTGCCGCGCGTCGACTACATCTCCTCCCGCCGGGCGCACCAGCACAAGTGCGCACTGCTCAGCCGCGAGATCCCGGCCATCACCTACCGTGGCGGCGGCACCTACACCAAGGGCGCCTTCCAGCAAGCTGCGGTAAGGCTCCCGCCCCTCCAGATCCCGGCCCTTGCCCTCCTGCTCCCCACCTCCCCGCCCTTCAGCTCATTACCGCCTGCTCAGTTCTAACCCGGGGTTTCACCTTGGCCAAGCCACAACCCCCCCAAGTCTAGTGTTCCTATGCCCCAAATCAGTCATACCACCTTCCTTTTGTTGTGGGGGCCCCACGGGATTATGTTCACCTAGATGTCAGGTTCCTTAAGGAGTCATCTTTGAGACGGGCCCCCTTAAGAAGGTGCCTTTAAGAGGCTATTCTCATTCACACTGGCAATAACAGACCGTGTCCAACCTGGAACAGGTGAGTGTGCGTTATGAAATATCCATAAAAATAAGCAGTGGAGTGACCTATTTCCCTAATTCTCTCACAAGGTATTTTATGCTTTCAGTATGCCTTTCATTGCGTGCCCTCTGAATCCTTTACAAGATTTTTAGCATCAGAAAGAGGAAGTCAGTTTCAGATGATAGACTTTTACAAAACTTAACTTTTTCTAATTACAAAATAATACATATTTGGTTGACGAAAACTTGAAGCATGTAGAAATGTCTGACACATAACAGCAAGCCACTGTTTGTAGAAATAATGAAAAAGAAGGGAGGAAATGGAAAAAAAACAACCCTATAATCCCATCACCATAAAAAGCCACTGTTTACTTAGTGTTGAACATCTGCCCGGTATGCACATCTGTGCGTACTTTTAACCAAACCAGTGTCTTGCTGTGCTGCAGCCTACATTTTTCATTTGTCCTATCATGAAATGATCTACTTTATGCTATTGAATACATATCTAATATAGATGATGTATATGTATGTTAGTTTCAGATGGTTCCATTGAATATTTGTGTCCTAATTTATTTTAGCTGTCACCTGGTGTTGATGGGCATAGGTTTTTTTTATTAATTAAGTTATAATAGACACAAATATTTTTGGACCCCTTTGGTTACTTCTTTAGGAAGAATTTCTATAAAGTTTCTGAATTAAAGGATATGAACATTTGTGAATTTCTTAATTCATATTGTCCATTTGCCCTTGGAAAGCTGTTGAATTTACATACCCACCAGCAGACTGTCCCAGCAGTAAGTTTGCCACCTGGTCAGCAATACACTATGTACTTTTATTTTTAATATCTCCTCATTTGCCATGTGAACAGAGGTTCCATTTTGCAAGGTCATCTTTTTTAGTTTAATTGAGGAGGAACATTTTCCAATACTTTGCATTTAAGCATTTGTGTTTTTCCCGTTCCTCAGTTTGCGCATTTTGCATTGATGGCACATGCTTTTGTTTTTTGCTTTTCCTTAACGATTTGTAAAAGATTTTGCTGTAGGAAGACTGGCAACTCTTCTTTTGTGTGTGATGCACAGGTTTTCCCCAGTTCACGGCCCTTCACGTCGGCTCATTGCTGTGTCAGATGGGTGATTTGAGTTCATGTGATATATGTAAGTCTGTCGTCAGACTTTGTTCTTCATATCCCATGTTTCCATATTCTTAAAATGGCACTCCCATTTCCCAAGTCAGAGAAATAATTTTCTATTTAACAGTTTAAGTCGTCTGGGACTTATTTTAGGGTATGGGATGACAAAAATGTCTAATTTCATTTTTTTAATAAATAGTTAACCAATTGCTCAGCACCATTTTTCTAAAAACCATTCATCCTTTTCCCATTTAGTTGAAGGACACGTTTATCACACTCAATACTTACGGGCATTTGATTTCCTCCTGGCTTTCTATTAATTTCTTTATTATCCTGGATAATAGGATATTCCTATTACCTACCTATTATTAAGCTTTGCAAATATGACTTAATTATTATAACTTTAAAGTACATTTAATTATCTGGTAGTGAAAATTCTCTCACCTTTTTTTGATCTATTTTTTAAAAATCAACTCACACTTATTACCTAATAAGAATTTTTAAAAATATTTTATATATTTATTTTTAGAGAGGGGGAAGAGAAAGAGAAAGAGAGGGAGAGAAACATCACTGTGTGGTTGCCACCCATATGTCCCCCACCGGGGACCTGGCCCACAACCCAGGCATGTGCCCCGACTGGGAATTGAACCGGTGACCCTTTGCTTCACAGGCCTGCACTCAATCCCCTGAGCTACACCAGCCAAGGCCCTGATAAGAATTTTTAATTCATTTTCACATATTCCAAAGGAAACCTGCCAGAATTTTTATTTCAATATAGAAAATGTTGAATTAAGTTGGGGGTTATTTACACTTTATAATACTGGTCTTTCCAAGTCCAAAATATGGTATGTCTACTTATAACCAGTTATTTTATACCCTTCAGTAAAGTTATAGATTTCTAATAATTAAGACCTGCATATGTTTTCCAAGTTTAGACCTAAATATGTTCTATTCAGTACTGCCATTATAAATGGCATCTTTTCAAATTAAATTTTTAACGATTATTCTTGGATAGAAACATTGATTTTTTGGACCATGTCTTCTGTATCTGGATTCTTACTGAAGCTTCTGGCTCATTCTTTTTCCTTTTTCTTTATAAACATACTTTATTTTACTAAGGTTTATTGTATATAAAATAATAAGAAAGTTTCTGTAAATGCACTGTCATATTTGATATATACCCTTCTTGACTTTTTTTCAGGTGTCTAGTTAATAGGTATGTTTTTTGTACATGGATACCAGTGGTGCATAAATAATGTTTATCCAAAAAAGGATCACACTGTGTATTCTCTTTTGTAACTTGAATTTCTATTCCATCATATTTTCTTTTTTAAAAAAAGATTTTACTTATTTATTTTTAGAGAGAGGGCAAGGGAGGGAGAAAGAGAGAGAGAGAGAAATATCAATATGGGAGAGATATATCAGTCAGTTACTTCTCTCACAGTCCCAACTGGGGATCTGGCCTGCAACCCAGGCATGTACCCTGACTAGGAATCAAACCAGTGACCTTTTTGTTCTCAGGCCGGCAGGCCAGCACTCGGTCCACTGAGCCATACCAGCCAGGGCTAGTCCACCATATTTTCAGTCTTCTTTCCATAATAAGAGATATTTTATCATTATTCCACAGTCACAGAAAATTTTGCTGTGGAATGTGCCTTTATTTTTATCATGTAATATACCTGATTATTATATATTTAGGCTGTTACAAACAACACTGTGTGACTAGATTTTTGCCCATATCTCTAATAATTTCCTTAATGCAAATTTCTGAAGTGGTAGGTGTTACTGCATCAGAGAGTATGCCCATTTCTTAAGGGCCTTGATAAGTGTGCCAAGTAGCTCTGTGGGAAATTGGTACCGAATTGTACTCCTACACTCAGTACCTCGGGTGCAGCCAACACAAGTTGGTATCATTTGGATATATCTCCACAAGCTTATATGAAAACCTGAGTCCTATTTTAAATTGCATTTCTTTATTAGTGAGGCTGAGTGCCTTTTCCACATATAATTGGCTGTACAGAGCTCTTCTTTTTGAATATCGCTTAAAACATTTTGAGATAATCATTCATTTTTCATTTGAGGGTGGTTCTTTTTCTTATTGAGTTGCAAATGCTCTTTTTTTTTAAAGATCTTACTTATCTATTTTTAGAGAGCAGGGAACAGAGGGGGAGAGAGAGAGAGAAACATGGATGTGCAGTTGCCTTTCGCATGCCCCAAACTGGAGACCCAGCCTGTAACCCAGGCATGTGCCCTGCCTGGGAATTGAACCTGTGACCCTTCCATCTGCAGGCCAGAACTCAATCCACTGAGCCACACCAGCCAGAGCACAAGTGGTCTTTAAATCTTCATGATACTAACCATCTGCTGATATGTGTGAGGCAAATCTTTTTTTCTCTCGGTGTTTCTCTTGCCTGTTAAACTTTTTTATGCTAGTGTCTATCATTTTATCAATTTATTGACTCTGATTTTTTTTATCTTATGTTGTTTTGGTCTCTTATGAGGTTTGAAAGAATTTTGCCTTTAAGAGAAGAAGTAACTCCTGAAAGATGCTCTCTGTTTCTTGAAGTAGCTGCACCGGGCAGGGTTCAGTTTTGCAGACCCAGTTCTCTGTAGGTTTCCATTCCAAGTGCTCAGGAGGCCCCGGGGGCTGGTCTTCTTCCTGTTGCCACTGCCCATCTCATCAGGAGAGCTTCTCTCCATCAGGGGGAAACGTCTATAGACTGGCTTAGCCAAAAAGTCCATTTAGTTTTTTCTGTAAAATAAAGACACATTTTTCATTTTCACCAATAACTTTATTGATTTGGATATTTTGAGTATGTTGGCCAGCTGCTGCTATTGGCTTCTAGTGGGTAGAGGCCAGGGTGCTGCTAAACATCTTCCAATGCACGAGACAGCCCCACAGCAGAGAATTATTTGGCCAAAATGTCAATAGTACCAAGAAACTTCCCAAACCACTTTTGACTCATTCAGTCAGTCACAGCAGCTTCTCCATACACGGCGCAAATCTTTTGTGTGTGTTTCAGTTGTGTTTTTAGCTTTCCTGAAATAATAAAGCATAGTATGCTGAAAATGTTGCATATCTTCTTCCATCTTCAATATTAAAATGGCTGCACAAAAATTCATCAATTTTGACAGGGTTTTTTCAATGTACGCTAATGACAGCTGTCACAATACAGTCTAACAGAATTATTTCGCATTAAGTTAAAGACAGCTGAGCGCCACCAGAGCCACTGTACAGAAAAAACTAAACAAACTTTTTGGCCAACACAGTCCTAGCTCCTCTCTTTGGCTTGGCCAGGTTCATGGGGCCTCTGTGTTGTTGATCCAAAACAGTTAAGTAGGTAATGAGTCAGGTATGCATTGCTCGCGTCAAGACCTACTCCGTCTCCAGCTTTCTCCTTCCAAATACTACATCCTGTCTTGGAAAGTGGAGTTGCCAACAGGGCTCCCAGTGCCTTTCTTCGGTTTGAGTCCATTTGTAACCTGACAAGCGAAGTCTTCTCAAAAGTTTGCATTCACTGAACCTTCCCTTGATTTTTTTTTTCTTTTCTCATTTTGTTTGGGTTATGAG